CACAAATTAGTTAGCATAAATCAGTTAAATGACGAAAAATTAGGTGTCTATTTACTTGTGACCACTCAATGTATACTTCAAAAATATCATATCTCCAGAACCCGATGGTGCACTTTTTATATGTCATGCTTATTGATATATATATCCTTATCTATTCTTTACTAAGAGCATAGAAAACTTTAATGATCCTTATATGTTTACACAAGCCTAATCTAATTTGTACCAATTAGATGGACAATGCTGCTTCGGTTTGTTTGTTAAATATACAAAGCTTCACAATGGGCTATCTGTACTGTCGCCACCACGAGCATCGAAACCCGATTTTTAGCGGTGTAAGCCATCAAACCTCCTGCTGAGCCACTGGGAGGTCATTGTGATTTAGAAGTAAAATTTCTGACCATTATCAAGTTATTCAGTAGTAAAAAAAAAACATACACTTACGTAGATGTATGTGAAAGCCTTTAAATCTTTATGTGATAAAAAAGAAGCTTTCTACCTCGTAATGAAATAGCTTAAGAATCGCTCCAAAACGATCAATCGGTTCCGACGACTTGGTAACAAATGTGAGATCATCCACCTTGAAAGCACGTGTGAAGTCTATGATGGTCTCCCTTTCTTCAGTCCAGGACAAGAATGATGCTCCAATGTCTGCTTCCTCCATAATTAAAATCAGTAGATTTAAAACTATTAACCTTTTTTTTTAACGGATAAATGAAAGAACATATACTAAATAGCTCTCGTAGTTCCCCCTTTAGATATATGGCAAATACGTCTAGCTAATAACTTATACAAAGGTGAACTTTACTATTTTAACTCCACCAAACCCCCGTAATTCTTCTGACCAGTTTCTACAATGAGCAACATGTGTTTACATTTAAATACTCTGAGGGAACATGCGATGTTCAAGGAAGTTTACAACAACGATCTTTTGGAACAATTTCCTCCGTCATTAATCATACTCAGTCACGCGCCATGATTACACACTATTGCGCAACAATACAATTTCTATTGTGGTAAGAGCATTTTTAGACCACGTATCTTAAAAAGCTTGCCACAAAACCTTCATTTCACACGTAAATATCGGTTTCAAAGATCACGTCTAAGCTGACTAAAGGCGCAAAAGTCGGGGTTTTAACATATATGTGTTCGAGTGAGACTTACGCTGATTCCAACTTATTCTGTTTACGATTTTGCTAAAGTTAGTAGAGAAGTGTCCAGCTCCATTGAAATTTTTATTGGGAAGATGGGCTTTCTTTCGTTACGATATGTATAGAGTTCAATGTGGAAATGAGCATCTCGTTCCACTTTGGGACAGGGTTGATTTAATAGTCCGTTACTGTTCTAATTGCTCTTTTGTAGGATTTTGTTTTCTTCTATTAAGAACATGGAAAGTTAATTTCTTTCAAATGTTATGTCCTCTAGTTCTCTAGGTTTACAGTTTGTTTGTTTTTGTTTTTGAATTTCGCGCAAAGCTACACGAGGGCTATCTGCGCTAGCCGTCCCTAATTTAGCAGTGGGTAGGTAGCTAGAGGGAAGGCAGCTAGTCATCACCACCCACCGCCAACTCTTGGGCTACTCTTTTACCAACGAATAGTTGGATTGACCGTCACATTATAACGCCCCCACGGCTGAAAGGGCGAGCATGTTTGGTGGGACGGGGATTCGAACCCGCGACACTCAGATTACGAGTCGAGCGCTTTATCCACCTGGCCATGCCGGGCCAGTTTTACAGTTAACAACTCGTTCTGTGAATATTTCTTTTCAGAAAAGCTCTTTACGTACCTCATAATTGTACTTTTGAATGTCGTGAAATCGCCGTGAACCAAATATATAAATGGTATGCATTTCATATGTGGCTCTACAGTTCACACCTGCAGCGAACGTTAAAAAAAAGTGCAATTAACCCTCTGTAGAAGTTATAATACCTTCTAGGCCCGGCATGGCCAGGTGGTTAGGGTACTGGACTCGCAATCTGCGGGTCGCTGGTTCGAATCCCCGTCATACCAAACATGCTCGCCCTTTCAGCCGTGGGGCGTTATAATGTGACGGTCAATCCCACTATTCGTTGGTAAAAGAGTAGCCCAAGAGTTGGCGGTGGGTGGTGATGACTAGCTGCCTTCCCTCTAGTCTTACACTGCTAAATTCTATCTGCGCTAGCCGTCCCTCCCTCGTGTAGCTTTGCGCAAAATTCAAAAAAGAGAAAAAAGAAAAAAAAGTAATACCTTCTTGTTATCAAAGAATTGCCTATCCATACGGTAATACGACTTTTCATTGTAGTATAAGCGTGCCAAACGTTTGATGTAGTTTTCTGTTTACAACTAGTTTTTGTGGCCGCATTAAAAATAGCCATCTGAAAATGTCGAATTAGATGTAGTTTGAATGCTTCTGTTTCTTAAAATTTTTTTAAATGCTATATGGAACAATAACTTATCCAACAAATTAGAAAGACTTCCAAACATAGAACATCTATAGCCTACTCATTCGATGAAATATACAGTATTATCGACTAGTTGCTGAAAATTATTCTTAAGTAATCGTGAAACTGTTTCGTTACCTAATATGTGTTAATATCTTTTTATGGAAATGTATCAAACTGTGTGTGTGTTGTTCTCGTTCGATTAATGTATAAGCAGGATTCTGTTTTGTGTTTGGTTGCCTTGTTGAAACCAGCAACTTTTGCCGAATACGGGAAACTGAATTCGTCAACTCAAATTATATCCGACATCTTGTTATGGTTTACATATAACTATTCTGAAAAACACGTGTCGAGGTTATTCTTTGTAATCTTTACAATAAAAATAAATGAGGAGCCCAATGTATCATTCGCTTTACCACTTAGCATTGAGTTTCGGGTAATTCCGTCTCTCATCAAGCAAAGCGAAATAATAAGACTAGGTTTAATATAGTTATAGAGTTTGGTCTTTTGAGATGTCTTTTACTTCACAGTAATATCACATTTATTGAATAAATCAACTGATAGATTAGGCTTCATAAAGAGGATGTTCAACTGACTACTACGTATATTAATTACTGTTCGGTGGCTAGATTTTTTTGTTTACGGAGAAGACAGCTAAAATCTATTCGCTAGATGTCTCGCCTCCTGCACGCTAACTAAATTTAAGATTCACTTATAATCTGGGTGAAAAGCAGAATCCATGCACATGTACCTATTTCGAAAACACTTTTCTGGCATAATATTAATTTTAGCTAAGTGCATCGTTTATTAATATATTATATATAAATACACATGCTTACCTAGAGAACGAAACAAAAACCTAATTTAATCAGCAATATATATTTAAACATGTGTTAAAATTGAAATGATGCATTGGCAACATAACTGTAAACATACTAAAGTTTTTAATGGGGACAATAAGGAAATTCCATTTGTTCTGTAAAGGTTTGTTTGCTTGTAATTAAGCACAAAGCTACACAATGGGCTATATGTGCTCTGCCCATTACGGGTATCGAAACCCGTTTATAGCGTTGTTAGTCCGCAGACATACCGCTGTGCCACCGGGGTGCCTGTAAAGTATTACCTACCAATAATTTAGTTTTAAAAAATGATTGATTGCAAAAAATTGTGAAACTTAATGTAACCAAGAAAGCTGAACAAACATGAAATACAGGATCAAAGTAGGAAACTAAATTTTTGAAAAATGTCAAAGATTTAGAGAAAAAAAGTAATAAAATGTAATAGCTCCATTTTCTGGAAAATTATGAAATGACATATCTAGGAGAAAAACAAAAAAGGTACTTTTTTCTGGGGTTTATTATGTATTGTCCATGCAGTTTAATGTCACATCAGATCGTCCTTGTTCCTGTGATGCATGGTTTAGGATTATTTGTTTCTATACTTTCGCATTGGCCTTTTTTTTCCACGAAAATATTCCGTTTGACTGGAATTTACGCAACACATGAAAGTTCAACCGTGTTCTTATCAGACAAAGATGGTCAAAATAAATATACAGAACCGATTTCACTTATCTGGTCGGAGGATATCACACATGTGGTGCAAATAGCGTAACTGTGATTGGTAACTACAAATTATTTAAACGAGTTTTATAAAAGTATTCTAAGGATCAGAAGTTTAGATTAAAGATCATTTTTTATCCGCAATAGATAACGACAAAATGAACTAAGAAAAAAAAACATGGTTATATAGAGTTTATATACAGAAAAACAGTGCCTAACATACATCCTTTTAGCACATGTCCAGATATAAACATTTATCGGTTTATTCAAGCACTCCACCAGCCGATAGTTATGTTACTTCCGTATAAAGCATTACGTTTGACCATAAAGAGGTTTTATTATTATCTATTCTATTAGACACCCGGATAGCCATAAGAAAGAATTGATATTAACTGTTTTCAAGGAAGCTTTGCTTGTCTTTAAATAAGTTTTAGTATTACTTACCTTTCTGCTAAGAAGCCCCACCAGTCCATTCCAACTCCCATTGCTGTCTTGAAAACCATGGTAGATAGGCAGTGCTTGTAATGTGTATCTGGTAGTGTGTAAAAAAAAAAAAATGTTTCGCTTTTAAAGATGAAAAATAAGTTTATTTTTACCTTTGATGAAACAGTTGCAGAAAATACACACTACTGATCAACCATTTGTAGATAGATCTATTGGCAAGTAAACAAACAACATTCATAGTTAAGTAAACAGAACATATGCGATTAGTTCTGTAGTAATCCTACAGTTAATATTTAAAAATATGCTTTTCCAATAACGCACTTGAAATATTGATTCTATATAAGACAGCTTGCCTGTTTCTATAGGTTATGAAGTAATCATTAAACAAAAAGAAAAAAAAAACAGTAGGAAAGGAAAAAAACTAAGTAACGCAGAGAATGGTACAGAAAAATAAAATATCAAAATAGAAGTTTGAAAGGGAGATAGTTTTAAATATAAGAAAATTGCAATTTATAGTGACAAATATGAAGTTGTATTTAACAGCGATCTTATCTTATTAAACATTATTAGTGAAAATATAGATTCATTAAGAATATTATGTTAATTCAGTATCGTTTTTATAAACGTACAAGAAATATAAAATTTGTATAACAAAATGCACTGTAAAATATTATAATATTAGAAATAAATTTTAGCTAATCTATAAATCTCATGCTGCACTTAATTTTATACATTTAATATAGTCATTAATCAGCTTTATATTTGATTTGGTTTGTTTGGAATTTCGCGCAATGCTACACGAAGACTATTTACGCCAGCCTTCCTTAATTTAGCAGTGTAAGACTACAGAGAAGGCAGCTAGTCATCACCACCCACCGCCAACTCTTGGGCTACTCTTTTAACAACGAATAGTGGGATTGACTGTCACAGTATAACGCCCCCACGGCTGAAAGGGCGAGCATGTTTGGTGTGACGTGGATTCGGACCCGCGACTCTCAGATTGCGAATCGAGCGCCCTAACCACCTGGCCATGCTGGGCCGTCAGCTTTATAAGATAGGTTACTGTGATTATTGCATAATCATCAATATACAACATTCGTTATGAAGATCGTGGGTTCAAATCCCTGCATCGAACATGCTCACCCTTTCAGCTGTGGGGGCGTTACAATGTGACGGTCAATCCCAC